CGGATCTTGAAAAAGAAGCATGTAAAATTCGAGCCAAATTGGTCAGTCTGTCCTTTGTTTGTTTAATGCACAGAAAGGTGTTAAAATATACACTGGGTAACAGGAAATCACTTCACGCCTGACTTTCTGATGGCCAGGTCTGGAGATAATGAGAATTGATTGACAGCTGCATTTATGCATTGTCCTCAAACAGGTGTGATTTATATTTTATGAATACGTTATCTGCAGTTCCTGTTTTTTTTCTGCTATACATTATATCACATAAAAGAATCATATGATCACAGTTTATTTGAATAAATAATAAAATAAATAAATAAATAAATATACTTTTGTCAGTTTTGCATCGTATAAAAAGTATTCTAGCCATAGATACATGAAAAATTCATTTGTTTATATGAAAAACTCAATTATTGGGATTATAAATTGTATCTACCGTTGGAAGCTAAATAAATGCAGGTTTTTACCATTGTAAATAAATGATATTAAAATAACAAATTGTTTGAAGATGTAGATTGTGTTCTTTTTTTTAGATATTGAAAATATGTTTCACAATATTGCTAAAAACTCCTGACTACTAGTAATTGATTTGTTTCTGTTGACTGGTTAAACTAATACTTTATTAGTCTGACGAGACTGGGTACATAAGTTGGTTTCAAGCCTTGTGTAATGAATTCATTCATTAATTCAAACATTTATAAAGGTCCACCAGAATTTTAGAAGGTCCACCAATATTTTTTGACTAGTGGACCTGCGGTCCACCAAGGTAGAATAGTTAGTGTCGAACCCTGCTAATGGTAAAAATAAGTGAATCGTTATTTGTTTGAAATTTTTGTTTGATATATGTTGTATGATAACGATAAATTTTTGTTTGTTTATTTTATTCCTCCCTGGTAGTTGTTGAAGTTTTGTCCATTATTAAAAATACTTTTGTTTGATCAGATGTACTCAGGGTTGTCTCTAAGACCTGGGGGCCGAGGAATTTCCCCAACTATAATGATGTAAATAATCCCCCGGTTATTTCGATATTCCTCCTAAACTCCCTAGTAAGGGAGGAACCCCAGTTCCCCTTCTACGTTTTAAATGTCCCCTTCTATTTCAATTCTTAGGGACAACCCTGTGTACTTCGACCCAAATTTTGTAAAATAGATAAGTAGGTAGGTAGATTTTTTTTTGGCAGTATCTAACAAATTGATTTTTTGTCATACAAAAACACAGAATTAGAAATTTATTGATGTTTCATTACACACTGGACAGCTAGACAGGTTTAATATTTATTGCTCTCGTTAAAACAAGTGTCTTGGAGAAATTCTAAACCTCAACTTTATAATGAAACAAACTTTATTTCCCTGGACCCCCCCCCCCCAAAAAAAAATGAAGTAAAATTAAAATACTTAAAAAAATGATTGGGTAGGGGTGATTTTGATGGATCTTTTGGAGTACATCAAACAAATCAGTCATAGCTCACCTGAGCCAATTGAGCTTTTCTGATCAAAATTTGTCTGTCGCTGTCATTGTCTTAAACTTTTCACATTTGAATCTTCTTCTCAAGAACCACAGGGCCAATTTCAATCAAACTTGCTACAAAGTATCCTTGGGTAAAGGGGATTCAACTTTATTTAAATGAAGGACCATATCTTCTTCTAAGGGGAGATAATTACAAATAAATGAAAAATTAATGGCATCATTTAAAATCTTCTTTTCTGGAACCACTGGGCCAGGAAAAATTAAACTTATTTGGAAGCATCCTCAGGAAGTGTAGATTCAAATTTGTTTAAATCATGACCCCCGGGTGTAGGGTGGGGCCACAATACATTTTATTTCCACTATGGAAGAGTTATACTTCTTAGTGCACAGTGCTACTCTTTTGTGAAAAAGTCGGAAAATGTACAAATCTCGCGGGATTTCTGGGACAAACTAACATAAACATGTAAACATGGTAAACAATATGTTGAATGTCAATGAACAAATCCTAAGAAAATGCAAATGAAATATTTTATTGTTGTGAACTTTATATACATCAAGAGTAGGAATGACAACGATATCAATTTATGTCTATTGTTGATCGTATTTATGATACAGTATCTATTTATCGTATGGTACCTCTAAATACAATACCGGTACACATGCCTCGGAAATGTCGTATTTTTTATTAATGGATCATTATGGATGATAAATTTAGGGTTCTCGCTCTCTTACATATGTCTTTTAGTTCTTCTATTCTTTAATTGGAATGACAAATACATTTAATATTTAAAACTGGATTGAGATTGGCAGGTTTGTATTATCCGCAACGCCATGCTGTCCCAGTCAGACGACCAAACGCGCCTCTAATTTTGAAGAGTTCACTGATGGAAATAAAACGTATTGATGATCAAGTTTTACGTAGGAATACATAGGATAAAATCTTTGAAAATCTTCTTCACTAGCACCACTGTATCAGGAAAGATGAAACTTATGTTGAAACATCCTCAGCTAGTGTAAATTCAAGTTCGTTCAAATCATGACCCCCGGGGTAGGACGGGGCTACAATGAAGGATCAAAGTACATAGGAAAAATCTTAGAAATTTCTTCTATTCAAGAACAGCAAAGCCATGATTTGTCATATTTATATGGAAGCATCTTCAGGTAGTGTAGATGCAAGTTTGTTCAGATCATGACCCCCATGGGTAGGATGGGGCCACAATCGGCGATCAACATTTTACTAACAATACTGATACATAGGAAAGATCTTTAAAATTCTTCTCAAGACCAATATAGTCAAAATTAGTCATAATAATATAAAAGCATCCTGAAGTAATGTAGATTCAATTTATTCAAATCATGACACTCCCCCCTCCCTCCCCAGGAGAATAAAGGTGCCATAACAGGGAATCACAGTTATACAGTAAAACTCATTTAGTATGAACACGGATATTGTGAATTCACGGATATAGCGAAGTTTTCTTGGATCCCCAGCTAAATAAATTTCACTAATTCCTTATATGGATATAACAAATTAAGGATATAGCGAAGTAATTTCACAGATCCCAGTGGCTTCGTTATAACCGAATTTTACTGTAAAAAGGAAGAAAAGGAATATATCAATAAAAATTTTCTTCTTAAGAACAGCAATGCTAATATGTATCATATTAATTCAAAAGCATCCTTCGAAAGTATAGAATTCATACCCCCCCCCCTCTCTGAACCACTTTTATATTTAAACTTTTAAATACAGAACTGATTTATGCTTTTTCCTACCCAAAGTGCTCAGGTGAGCAAAGTGGCACTGAGGACTCTTGTTTATTGTTGGTCTTATAAGTGAAATCAGAATGCAATAGTGTAGTAACTGTACATAATATATTCTTTCAGAGAGAAGAAAATTAACATTAAAGGAGAACCAATAACTAAAGATGTATGATGAATCAAGATGTGATCATGTGGTAAGTGGTAATAAATTCAATCATAAATAGGCATGTATGACAGTTGCATTAAAAGAAAAGAACTTGATTCCAATTTTAATTGGAATGTTGAACTACCAGCTGCAAACAACAACAGGTTAGGCATAATAAAAAAAAATGTTTGTTTACGGTTACCCCCCCCCCCCCCGACCCAATATCTAATAGCCAACACAATTTTTTTTTCGTTATAAAAATCCATAAGTCACTCATTCGTCAGTTTAACTTTTACATGCATCTTAATCTACCTACCAACCCTATTTTATTTCAGCATGTAACAGTAAACAAACATATTTTTTTGTTTGGCCTTATGAAATTGTATGGCTTGGAGTCTTTTTCACTTCTCTATAAAATTTTCTGTCTGGATGATGTCTAGCATAATATACACCATGCAGTGAGGATTTTAGTTCACCTGAGCTAAAAACTCGAGTGAACTTTTCTGATACCTTTTGTTTTGTCTTTTGTCCATCAAACTGTCGATCCATCAGTGAGCTTTTCACATTTTCAACTTCTTCTCAAGAACCACTAATTTTAACCAAGGTTGACACAAAGTAAGGATATTTTAAATTGTACAGAGGAAGCCCCCTCCCCCCCCCCCCCTTCACCCCAAGGGGAAATGATCAACTCTTTCAGATATTATTGATATGATCATTGTTGAGCAACTTATAATTTTGTAACCTGTAGACTTTAATTTAAGAATAATGAATATTTGTTTAAGAGTCCTTTTGTCAAGGTTCAAAGTTCAATTAAAATTATTTTGTGATACATGTATTTGAGGATTCGAGATATCAGGAGTAAAATATTTAAAGAATACTTCCAATTACTACGACATATCTGTGGTATTCAAGATGCCAAAGTTCAACTGTATGGCTATGCTAAAGTAGTAAATATTATAACTTACTAAAACTTTCTAACATTGAAATATGTTATAATAAATGAAACAAGACAAAAATGAAAAATAAAAATTTACTGATTTCTGGCTGGTCAGTATTTTGATGACTGTAATTTCTAAAATATTCAATGAAACACTTTGAAGCTTTAACTGTAGGTATATGTTAACTAAATACACTATAAGATAATATTTATAAATGAGAAGTTTTGAATAAACATTACAACATTCGTGTATGTAAATTGGGGGTAAAAACTGGTTATCGGTAATGGCTATCGCCTTAATTTTCAATGACATAAAACAAGATTTAGAATGCAGGTAAATAGTAAGTGTCTGTACATATGATAGCATATAGAACTTGTACTGAATGTTGATTAGCTAAATCTTGAATGGCTGATATGTTGGTCGTTTTTGATGAAATTTAGATTATTTGTATGTAAACTGAGTGTACATGCAATATGAAATTATTCATAAGGTATTAAACATGATTAAAACATGTGTATGCAATGCAACATATGATGACTTCATATTGACTTGTATGGATATAGCTTAACATGTATGTGCATTGTTTTTTTTAGGGTCCTCTTCTGCAGATGCCATGAGATGATCTGTCTGTCCATCTGATATCACTTGTCCTGAGTACATTTTTTCTCCTCTTAGCCCAACCTCACTCAAATTTTAACTCATAGAGTGCCTGTGGATGGAGGGTAAAAAGTGACCTTGGACCAATTATCAAGGTCAAAGGTCAGTATCAAAACACACTATATATCTTTATTTAAAGTCCTTGTCCAGAGCATAATTTTTCTCCCTTGGTATGATCTTGCTTGTGTGCCATGGGATGAAGGGTTTTTAGTGATCTTTAACAAAATTTCTAGGTCAAATGTCAATAAGAAAAAAAAAAGATTCGTAATATCCTTGTCCAGAGCACATTTCTCTCCAATTCACTCAACTAAAAGCCGTGTTCTACATGTACGAGACGGTCATATTCTCAATCTTACCTGCTTTAATATTAATCTGGCTTAAAACCTTACTATGTAATGTTCATTATTCGGATTTCATGTCATTAAATTTAAAGACTGAAACTAATTATAATCACTGATATTGGTACATTAAAGGACATTGAGTGATCTTGTAAGATTTCTAAATAATATTCAAGCATACAATTCTTACATCAAATAATAATTTTATATGAAAATATATTGCAGATTGACGCAGATGATGTGAAGAAAATACAACGGAAGCTGATGTTGAAAGAAGTATAGAGTATTTAAAGAAGTTTTTATGAATGGACTTAGATGTGAAAGACTACTTCATTGTGTACCAAGATATATGATTTTATTTATTTTGATATCATTTTCAAATAATGTTTTTGCACATCAAATGAATTATTAAACATATGATTTGATAATGCTTTTTCCTTTTTATACATTTTCTTGATAGATTTTGAAAAGAAAACACAGTTTACCAAGGAAATTAATAATATATATTTTGATTTAAACCTGCTGTTCTCTTTTCACATTCTAGACAAGAAAGATTAACCATGGAAAATACAGGGATCCTTGAGCTTCCAGTTGCTTGTCAATCATTTTTCGAAATTGAAATGCTCAACCTACCCTGTAGTTTCCATGGTATGGAAACTATTACACCACAATTACACATTGCTTCCCGTCTCAGAAAAATAAGGGAATCTTGAAGTTTCCCTGTAATTTCCTTTTATGAGACACCAGATAATTCCACCAAGTTTCCATCACAGGGAAACCGCTACGCTCCAATTCCATATAGTTTCCTGAGTCATGGAAACTTGAGGAATCACGAGGTTTCCTCTAGTTTCCGTTCATGGGAAATCTGAGGATTCCATCGAGTTTCCATTCCATGAAAACCACTACGCTACGATTCCACATAGTTTCCTAATTATGGAAACCAGTGGAATCTTCAGGTTTCCCATTACGGGAAACTACATGGAGGCTCAGGAAACTTCAGGTTTCCTGGGGTTTCCGTGGTTCGGGATGCCTTATGGAATCGGAGCGTAGTAGTTTCCGTGGTACGGAAACTTGACGGAATAACCTGGCATCCGCTGCGGAAAACACTAGGAAACATGATGTAAACGTGAGGTTTCCATGTGGTTTCCATATACTTTCCCATGACGGGAAACTGCTTATTTCACCCAGTGTCCCTGATTAAAAGTCAACGCTTCTCGAATGAGTTCATTATTTAAATACCGAACCCTCATTTGACTCTTGTGTATTACATTGAAAGATGCTACATAGCTGAATGAACAAATTTACTACGATCTCCACTATACAGGTCATATTTAAATCTCCAAGGCGTCCCCTTTTTTAACTTCTCGTATTCATATTGAAATTCTTTATTCACTGTATAATTTGATTCCGTGTCTCATTGTTACTCGTATCAATACGTATAAAGGAGAATAAAAACCCATAAAGGGGTACCAACGAAATCCCTGATGGAAAATCCCCAGTTAGGGATCCGTGAACAACCCTTTGTGAACACATTGTTTGGTCTTATTGATGTCACTGGGTTTTCCCCACTCTCCATTGTTCCCTTTTTTCTATACCCCATTGTTCCCTTGTACTCTCCCCTTTCTAGGTCAAGGGTACACCATTGTCCAAGGGCACTCGACCATATGTCGGACAAGGTCATTGGGGGTCTCTATTGTCCCCTCCATTGTTCTCCCCATTGTTCTCTTACACAATACCCCCATTGTATACTCCCCTCAGGTGTCGGTCATATATACTACTTGCAGCATTTAAAGCACTTGGATCAGAAAATCTCATTCTTTCAGAAAAGGAAGTCTGGAAAGAATCCTTTTCTGATAATCATTAAGGTAAACAGTTAAATTTGATTAAATAACACAAAGAATGAGAGCATCAAAATGTTGAATACACACATTATGCTGGATAATACTTTTCTATAACAGTAATGCACTTCCTTTCTACTTTTTTCAGCCTACTGAAATAAAGTCCATTACAAACAAGCCACGTGACCCTCTTAGACTAACATTCGTACAAGGAGAGCGAGGGATGTCTAATACCTTCATCGTTGCTAGAGGAATTCAAAAGATATCAAAGATGATTTTACCATTTTTCTAGTCGCCCGCGTGGCGCAATGATTAGAGCGTCTGCTCTAGAGTCGGGAAGTAAGGAGTTGATCCTTACGTAGCGGGTTCGAATCCACTGCTGGATGTTGAGACCAATCCATGGGACTAGACTATATAAACCAAGGTCCCATGTCGCAATAGGTGTTGTCACCAGTGGCGTAGCTTCCAGGGAAGCACGGAAGCACGTTCTTTTACATTGTTTGATGGGGAAAAATGAGTTCATGAAAAATTAAAATGCTTTGAATAATGAATTAAAAACACACTTCGAAGAAAATACTTCGAAATTTATACAGATGGTTCTAAAGACAAAAATAAAGTAGCAGCGGCTGCAGTGAATAAAAATAATGTTTTCTCTTTCAGGCTTCCAAATGAAGCTACAATATTTACAGCAGAGGCAAAAGCCATACAGCTTGCATTTGAATATATTAAATCTTCTAATGACAACTCTTTTACAATATTTTCGGACTCGCTTTCTTGCTTGCAATCTATACAAAATATGAATATCGATCAGCCATACATTTTAGATATATTAGTTCAGTTCTATCATTTCACTCAACAAGGTAAAGTAGTTGACTTTTGTTGGATTCCAAGTCATATTGGCATCATTGGAAACACTAAGGCTGATAGTGCTGCAAAATTGGCACTTCAGTACGAAATTACCATTTTTAAAATCCCTTATACTGACCTAAAATATATTGTGAAACTTTATGTAAATTCTCTTTGGCAGATATATTGGGAATTTTGTGATACAAGTAAACTATATGCAATAGAAAACAAAGTTAACATATCATCTAACTTCGGCCTGAAACGTCAGGACGAAGTGATTATTTCAAGAATACGTATAGGTCATTCTAAAATAACACATGCATACTTATTAAATCGAGAACTTCAGCCAGAATGTATATCCTGTGACTGTCCGCTTACTATAAATCATATTCTTTTAGAATGTTCTGATTTTTCGCCTATTCGAAGTAGACTTTTCAATAATGTACGAACGATGCGTGAACTGTTTACAAATGTTAATGTTAATACAATTTTATATTATTTACATGAAACTGATTTTTACAGTAAAATCTAAAGGTACACAATGTTATTATTTTTTGATAAACATAGAGAGAGTTTTATTTTAAACTTTTAAAATATTTTTAAATTTTTAAGTCCGTCGGATGGGACGTTAAATGGTGCCCCGTGTCAAGGATTGCAACCCCCTTGGCACGCAAAAGATCGTTTTTCTGGTTTTCGGAAAAGAGTAGGCTCACTGGGGGCCGCCAGAGAAACCAAAAATCTTTCAAAACCGATCATACAGAATTAATTTTCCGCCGAAATATGGCTGAAATATTGCCGACTCGGCGTTAAACCCTAATCAATCAATCAATCAATCAATCGAAGAAAATACTAAATTTTGGTAAATTTGTGCCAATTTGTTTCATGTTTTAATTTATCAATATATAATAATTTATATATATCTTTAATTGCGATATATAATTTATAAAACTCAATGTTCATGAAAACATGTATGAATTGAAACTTCCTAAGTATTTTATAAGGGATAATACATATTTAGTATAAACTATATAACACTGATTATGTAAAAATATATGTAGGATTAAAATAAGGGTAGGGGAGCTGCTGCTGTCTTTCGTAAGATTTTTTCCTCGCTGAAAACGCATTTCTGACAATATCTTAGGAATAATAACTACAATAAAAATACTAAGAAAAAATATTTCATAACATTAAAGCTATACGAGCTAAAACTGACGATATCAAAAATAAAATTGGAGAAAACACAGCTAATTACATGCATAGTTTTCCCTTTCTGTTGTAACAATTAATTTTCATGATAGTTTGCCTCTAAAACCATTAAATCAGTAATAAAACGTATGATCTGAAATACTGGCTGTCAGTCGTTATGTCGATATGCAGTGACCCCTGGGGTCACTACTTCGGAATGCTCTAATTGCGCATGTGCCAATGTTGTAAACAATCACTACAATATCGGGAAAAAAACGTGGTCCCAAAGTAAAATTGACTGATTCAGACAGAAAACGACGCAAAAAGGAGAGAAATGTAACGGTGAACAAATATATAATTTCAATCGGGGATCAGATTGATCAATGGAATGAATTAAAAAACCAATTAGTCAAAGAGAATAATGCTGAGATGGCGAAAGTATTACTGGACTGTAAGGTTCATTTCTACACATTTTTACATAGATTACTGAATCATTTAATATTATTTTGATGTTGAAGAGTAATGAATATGAAAACAAAGGAATGTTTAATTCATCAGAGTTTCAGATATTACTGTTATCTTGTGGTAAAAGCATTTAGGTTTCGTCCTGTTTACACAGGGGCCTAAAGAAGGGTAATTTCAAGAAACATCAAACTTGTTTGAAAAAAAAGGGAAATAAATTAAATTTATGTACTTATTGTACATTATAAATATTTTTAATGCATATAGTTCCATCACTTCGTAATTTTTTTCTAAAATTTAGATATACTAAATTATTTTTTAAGTTATGCTGAGAAAAACTTTGGTAAACAAGCTGTAATTACTACATCAAAGACTAATCATAGAGGAAAATTTGTTCCACAAGGCACTTCAACACCTGCTCCCAGTAAAATCACCAATAGAGATTCAGAATCTGAAATTTCCATTATATTAGTATATGAAATGAATAAAAAGTATGTACCAGGTACAGTAAAATTGAAATTTTCTTCATTGATGCACAAAAGATATTTATATTTGCAAGTATGATTTTCAAATATTCAAATATTAAGAACAATATTTTTAGAGAGGAGAGTGAAATATCTGGAATTGAGGACATTGCTTCTGTCGGTGCCACATGTAGCAGTAGGAAAATTTCATGTCGCCGTTTTCAAGCAGTTTCTTGGATCCATTTGAGTGGGTGACTCTCCGTCCCGCCATTCTGGATTCACCTGCATCAAATCATGCACCTAGCAACCCTCCAACACCCAGCATCAAACAGGCTTCCCTCAACCCTCAAGGAACCAATGCAACAAAGGCTTTCAGCAATACTCAGCCATCCTCAATTGTTGAACCTAGCAACCCTTCAACATCCATCATCAAACAGGCTTCCCTCAACCTACAAGGAACCAATACAACAAAGGCTTTCAGCAACACTCAGCCATCCTCCATTGTTGAACCTTGCAACCCTCCAACACCCAGCATCAAACAGGCTTCCCTCAACCCTCAAGGAACCAATACAACAAAGGCTCTCAGCAACACTCAGCCATCCTCCATCGTAGCAGAGTGTCGGCAACTTGCAG